GGGCTGGCCGGGTTCCCCTGGGTACTCGCGCACGCTGGCGTGCTCCCCGGTGGCCCGCTCCAGCGGCTGGTCCCCGGAAGCAAGGTAGGGTCCCTGGTTAGCAGACGGCGGACGACAGACACCATGCAGAGGAGGCAGGGGTGAGAAAAACACAACAAAGCAAAGCAGATTAGTGACTGCACCACAACCCCTGCCCGCGACCCCTCACCATCCATCAATACAGCAGGAGGAGGTGGCACCCGGGACTGGCACTGGGGGCTCCAGAGTCCAGCCAGGGGACCGGCCTCAGGGCATCTGCTCTTCTGTTGGGACTGGGGAGTCTGATGCCTCCCGGTATCCATAGCAGGGAGCCCTAAGTGATTAGTCACCACTTCCTCACTGGTTATTGAGGCTGCCATGGGGTTAATCATCATTAACAGCTCATTAGTACTGCTACCCGTTAGTGGCTGATTGGGTTAGTCAAGGCCTCCAGTTTTCCAAGTACATTAAGGGACAGCAACTCAAACCCCCCAGCCCCAGCCAGCTTCTTCAGCCACACCAACCACGCTGGGCAGCGGCTCACAGAAGCCCACTGAAGCTGCTCCTTCCCAGCCATGCAAGGGATGGGGTTCCTCCTCTGCCCCCCGAAACCACAGGGGGTGGCCCGGTGGCCCTGTCACTGATGCCACGTGAAGCGGAGTGGCTGCCAACGGCCCTGCCACCGCAGGGGCTGAGGTGACAGACACGCAGAGGCCTGTCCTAGTCTTGCCTCTGCCTCCTCAGGCCCTCTCGGCTGTGTGCCATGGGGATTCCACTGCAGCAGCCGTCTGCAAACTGTTTCATGGGCATCTGGGGTGGGCCGGGAGGGCACAGAAGTGCTCCCAGGGTCCCCAAGGAGGTGAAGGGGAGGCTGGACTCCAGCTTGCTCCAAGCAGAGCAGGGATGCCTTAGCTTAACATTCACTGAACAAATGTCGCTGAGAACAAAATTTAAAAGCAGCACCCTCAGGGCCGGGGATTTAGCTCAGTGGTTCGGTGGCCTGCCTTGCAAGCGCAAGGACCCGAGTTCAATCCCCGGTACCAAAATAAATAAAAAATCAATAAAAAATAAAAGCAGCACCCTCGATGCCTCAATGGATTTCTGCAGACCTAACCCTATACTTGATGGTGTGGTCACAGGGAAGGGCCGTGGTTTCCCTTGGGAAGAGGGCGAGGCCGGATGAGGGCCTTTCTTGGACTCTGTGTGACTGGAGGAAGGCCAGCAGATTCAGATGCTCCCAGGGTCCTCCTGGGGACAAGAGCAGGCAAGGGGCAGCCTCTGAGTCAGGTGTCCCTGTACTCTGCTTCTGGGTCTGAGTGCCCCTGCTCTGTGGAGTCCAGTGGAAGAGTTGTCCTCATGTTTTATTTTCCTCGCAGTTTCTAGTCTTACGAGGGCACTGGTCAGGCCTCCCAGCCAACAGGAGTCCCACAGTCCCAGGCCCAAGGAGGCAGTACCAGCCAGTCCCAGTCCCAGCAAAAACCACAGACACGGGAAGCTGCCGCTCACCACGTTATTTACAAAATAAAGCTCTTCACTTCCTTCCCCATGTTCCTGCACTTCAGGGCGCAGGGAAAACAGCCCGACACGGCTACATGGCGTGCTCCTGCTGCTGGGGCACCGCGCCGACCCGCTGCAAGGTCTCCAGCCCGCCCCAGAAGCTGAGATTCCTCCTGAGAGAGGTGAGCACCTGTACCTGGAGGTTGGAGACGGGGGCGGGGCTGGCAGCCAGGGCTGCCGTAGCCATGGTGCGGTTCAGCAATGGATTGGGCGGCGTGCTGCTGGGCGGGTGCGTGGCCTTCCAATAGGCTTCCAAGTACTCGGCTAGGTGCTCGCAGGCATCCTCCAATTGGTTCTCGTCCAGGATGATGTCAAACATTTCCTGTAAAAGCGGGGGGGGGGGGAGGGGGGGGGGGGTCAGTGAGG